GGTTCCCCGAAAAAGACACCCCCATCTATGTGGACTACGTTCTCCGGGGACCGATCAAACAACCAAGGGATTTTGAACACGCCAGCGAACAACTGGGGCTGAAGGTCAAAGAGATAAGGATCTTTGTGGGCCGGTCGGATCTACGGTTCAATCACTTCAAAGACTCAACCAAAAGGTAAAAGGCTCAAAGCTTTGATAACACAGGACAGCTTTGCCCTTCCAAGGGTGTGTCTGTTTTGAAGGTTTATAGGGAATCCATTTTCCGGGGTGCCCCCCCCCCAACAAAAGACACACCCCCAAAGAGTTCCTTGGTGTCCATCTTGAGGACCATCTGTCACTGCCCATGCAAAGTGCCTCCATAGAAGGTTGCGAGATGGTCCATGGAAACAACCCCAATTATTGATTCTGATAACCCCCAGAAAGAGTCAAACTAATGACCCCAGTTTTGCTGGTTTCAAAAGGAAACCCAAACCACCCATTTGGAAGCAAGCCCGACACCAGCGCGCTTCATATGCCAACACCAGAACCTCTAGGCGCGACCGCTGCAACGATGGCCTGTGTGGCCCCTAGAGCTGTTTTCTCGGAATAGGGAACCCGAGCTTTGTTGCTGTTGCCCCCTCTGCAAAAAGTTTTAACTTTTGTGGTTTCAATGGAAAGCCCACTGCTTCCCAAAAAAAGTTAAGTCCAAAGATCGAACCAAATAGCCACAAAGCGAAAGTGGGTGACTTCCCTTTTGGTTTCCCTTAACAATCCCGAGAAGGGAAACGCGGAACACACATGCACACAAATGGCATCCAAAAAGATGAAAACATCTACCTGGACCCTCAAAAATCCCTTAAAAATGGGTTTGACCCCCAAAATGATGGGGTGATATCCCATTTTTATGGGTAGTTTGAGGGTCCAGGTAGCAATGCAGCCACACTTTCACAGCGGTAGTACACGAATCCAGAGCAACCAGTCTTTGCGACACTGTGCCAGAGCACAAGCGGCACAGTCCTGTACGAGCCCAACATGCGCACATGGCGTCCAAGGAAAACAGCACCAAACATGAATTTCAATCGCCACCCCTTCCTTCAGCGGAAAATGAACATCATAGGGCATTTGGCATGCATCACAGCAAATAACCAAAAAAAACATCGTGTACCGAGAGGCAGAACGCCCATTCAGTCAGCTCCGAAACATGGCAACTGGAACTGAGTAAGACTCTACGTGGTTCACCCAAACGACCCAACGACCATATGGCCTCTTTCGTTGAGTCGAAGCCCCTTCTCAGCCCCAAGGGACCAGAAATAAAGGATTAACCTTTTGGGGCCACAAATAAACTCGGTTGCTTTCTGCTCTCCTGCTAAAAGTTTAACTTGTAGTGGTTTAATGGAAAACCCACTAGTTGGCCAAAAATTAAAGTCTTAACATCCAAGCAACATGCACCAAAGTAAATATGGGTGTGAATCTTAACATCATTTAGGCGGGGATTTATGTACACCACCACTTGGGAGGGGTTCCCCATTAAAATTCACAGCCATGTAGACCAAATCAGGGAAACCAAATGGTCCAAAGGTTGGCCTTTTGCAACTAAGCCTTGAATCAAAAAGCAAGAATGGGCACCGCTGGTCCGGGAAAACATCCAAGAAGGTTAGAACTTAGAACCAAATCCAGTTGAATGACTACCCGAGCCTTGCGCCCTCGTCTGACAGCAAAGCCGTCTCCTGACAGCACGTGGCGCTATGTTGGCAGGAATATTCCCAGGCCCTACTTAGAGTATCGACCGGGTCAGGATGCTTTGCATCCTCCCCGCCCCCCGCCAACAAGAACACAAAAACGGACTTGGACACCTCGAAATTATTGTTATGTGTGCTGGGACACTACACGCTTTTTAGATAAGTGCGAATGTGGAGTCATGGCCAAGTCCAAGCAGTATAACTAATCAAAAGGGCTGATACCAGCACCTATTAATGGTGAGGACTTTACGCTAGGAGTTTTCATCCACCAGATGTTGCTGGATCAGCTGTGAGCAGTGTCCGAGGTAAAGTCAAAGGGGGACCCCTGTGGCAAGGGATTATTTTTGGTGTCCCTTTGAGCCAAGTCAAACAAGGGTACCTGCAAACAAAACAGTACTTAAAAAAACCAGGTGCCAGGAGTGGTAAGAGAAGCACCGTGATCCCCACTACCAGAAGGGGGAGGGGGGTGGGGGTCCCCAACTCTATTTATCTAGTCTTCCCCATGAAAGGGAAATGGAGAATTCCAGGGGTCCCCCCCCTCCCCAATTCCATATTCAAGCGGGTGGGGATGCCTTGTGCAGGGTGTTTGTTTCTCTTGAGGGTCCCCTGCGATAGAACGTTGTGCTGCCCCAACGGAGAGGCAACAAAAGAAAGCACGCCTCGGCGATGCCACCGAAGACCACCAACTCCTGGAGGCCACAAGACCCACATGGCCAACTCCCATTTGGCTGTGGCTCAAAAAACAAAAAGGTACCCAAAATGGGTTGCCCGATCGGTAAGTGGAAACATGGGTACCAAAACCTGCGGTTTCCCCTGCTGTTTAATTTTGAGCCAGCTCCCATTTGGATTCCCCTTAAACCAACTCCCAAAAGGTGTCTTCCCTGAGGATTTTTTGTCCAAGCAAAAATAAAAAGGTATGCCCACAAAGACACACCCATGTCCCATCGAACCGTTTTCGAGGGGGTCGGGAGGTTGGTTGGTTTTGGGGGGTGGTGGGTTTAGCTCTCACCGGCTTTGGGCTCGTGGGGTGATCAATCTGATGAATTTCACACACACCCTTCAACCAGCGGGGGAAGAAACGTCTAGCGTTTAGCGGGTTCAATGGAAACCCCTGCTCAACCCTAAAAAGCTAAAAATTCAAGGAACCGGCTGGGAACCGCCAAGTGAAGCAGGGGTAATACCTATCGCACTCCGGTCTTTGACAGGGCGAATCCCCTCAAGAAGCCACAAACATTGAAACCGTCCTCGCAAAGGGACCCCGCAAAAAGTGAAACACGCCCATCTTGGATGGGATTTGCATGCCCATGCAATCCAACTACAGAACTTCCTCGCCCAGCGGTTCAACTTGCCCAAAGCTCGGTCAAAATGCGGGATCGGGATCCGAACGCGGGGATCGGGATCAAAACAGCAGAGCCACAATCAAAGTCCGGTTCTAAAATGGTGAACCCAGCACCATGTAAAAAAATAAGAAGGCGGATATCCGCAGCTATTTATGGCTGGGATTGGCCCTTACTGACCTTCATCTACCCAGGTTTTGAGCCAGTGGCTCAGCAGACTTCCCAGCTGGATCCCAAGCGACTCGACAAATACTGCAATGAGGCTTGACCGACGAGTCGAAGCCACATAAGCTCCAATGTAAGAGTCTAAACGCTCCCCACATAACAACTGGAGGGTACCTGAAAAAGGCCTTCGTGGGTTCCATGCGAGTGGGAAGGGTAAAACTCCTTGACCATCACAAAACGAGTAACCAGGAACCTCCAACTACCAACCAAATGTGCCTTATTGCCCTCAAGTGATGGTGGGTGAAATTGCTTTTTCTATAAGTTATGGTGGGTGAAATCCGTTTTTAGTTGTGGGCAACTTTGGGGGCGTCCAGGAACTCCACTCCATCGTTACAGCCAAGGCCATGGATCGAAGAACGAAGCGCACGAAGCACACGAATCGCTTCCGCGCCGTATCGTAGCCCTCCATGGTGTGGCCCCACCGCGACACTGGCGCGGAGCCTCGTAAGAATGGGCCGTGGTTCCTTGCAGTATATTTGGGTCTGTTTGGGTGTGTCTTTTTTTTCTCAGCACTCTTGTGCTTTTGAAGGGGAAACAAAAGGAAAACCGGAAAGCGACACACCCATAGTTTGCGTTCTCAGGACCCTTTGGAGGTGTTTGAAGCCAAAAGGGGCAGTGCCCTAATCCATCGCCGCAAGCTCCCACATGAGGCTGAACCAAAACGGAAGACCAGCGGGAACTAAAAATCCTATGGGTTGCCAGAAACCTGATTCAACTTGCAAATCTGATGGCAACCCATGGCGACTTTAAGCCCATCTGCTTTCGTGTTTTCAACCAAAATGGGATCTAAAAAGGGATCCGACTTTCTCAGACACTGCCTCATGCTGACATTGAGGCGAAAAAAGTATGGACTCACACATGAACAATCATCGAACAGCCAAAGATCCACAACTTGGTCCATTGCTTCAAATCTGAAGATACACAACCTGAATGCCCGGTGAGCCCCGATCCAAAAGAATGGATGCCATGGAACTCGGAGATAAGATGAGTTCGAAGCCTCCTGCCTGGCTAATGTGTCAAATACAGTCGGTACTTGATGCCCCTCAAAAAAAGATAAAAGTAGAAACCCATCTGGGAGTTTGGCATCCATTTTGGTTTTCCGCAAAAACCATCCAAGACTTGCTGTTTCGATTGGCAGGGAATGAGTTGGAATGATCCCTCTAAACCATCCCCTATGGTTTCCTAGGGAATCCTCTTCCTGGGTCATTCCCTGAGCACCAGCAAGGAACGCCGCCTTTCTTCCAGCTGCTCGAAGGCCCTTTCTTTTTTTCGCCAGGTTCTCGCGGGGCTGGGCATGTGGCCGCTAGCCAAATCTAGTTTTTGGCATCCCTACTTGGCCCGCTGTACTCCAAAACGAATAGGTGCAGATGCAAATCATATAGAGTAAACTCACTGAATGACAAGCTATGGATGCTTCTATGTCTCCTCCAGGCGTTTGGCTTCCCGTTAAATCGGGACGCGTCCAAAGGGTCGGCACTTCTGACAAACCATGGTAACCACACAGCACGGGCTGCCCTAAGCCACCGCCACGCCGCTTCACTGGTCAGCTTGACAAGCCTGGCTGGAAGGGACGGGCTGAATCGGTGAGGCAATCCGCACCAACACTTATTTTGCTGGTGCTCGGCAGGGAATAAGTTGCAATGACCCCGAGAACAATCATCCCGGATTTGGTTTGCTAGGGAATCCCCTTCCGGTTCATTCATTTTCAACACCAGGTCTCGGTCCTTCCCTAGCTATCGCACCAGCAAGTCATTGAGCCCTCCATTTGGGAGGCTTGAAACTCAGATTGTGCCGGGAATGACTAAGCTACAGAATCGGGCTCAGCTGTGCAAAGGCGCGGTCCAATTGGCATGCGCTTGGCTTCTCTGAGACTTGCAGAGAAGCTCAGCAGAATTCGGGCCCCTACCAATCAAGAACGTTAAAGACATGCTGCTAAGCAAATGGAAGTGGGTGCTAGATGGGGGTCTGAAAACACCAACATACCCATCCCCTCTTGTTTTCCCTTTGGGCAGTAAGACCTCGTGACCTGCTCAAATGATTGGCCAGCAAAGTTCAAGCTTACTCAGCCGTTTCGTATATTCAAGAAGACATCTTCCCACACACACACACACACATACACATCAAAAAGGAGAGAAACAACATAGGGCAAACAACCATGGTTCTCCCGAAATCATTAAGTACTGTGGTCTAAGCGCTTACCTCACAACCCCATTCTCATTACTCAGGCCCGAGTAACTTTGCCACCTGAACACTAGGCTGGAATTAGGACCCCAGCATTTTTCTGTTTTGCCTGGTTAGTGGAAAACAAAGGGACCCCAAAAAACAAAAAAGGAAAACGGGAGCTGATTCTGGGGAAGTGAACAGGTCAGCCTCTTCCAAAGGCGCCTGCCTGCATCTGTAGCAGCCTCGTCCATGACCGCCGCAAGCGCGAAATCCTCCCGCGCCGGTTGCCGGTGGTCGGCGGTTTGCACGTCTTGAAGTCACGGCAATGCAGTGATACTGTGGATGGACGAAATCCATTTCGCACCACCTAACTAAGAATCTCTGGCATGATGATTCCCTTGTAAATACTAACAAACAATGGTTTCTCATGGTTTCCAAGTGGTGCAGGATTTCGTCCACCCACAGTATTGCGTCTGGATGTCCTGTTTGTTTTTCCTTTCAAGCCACAAACACAAGGCTTCCCCAAGAATGTGACCTGCCGTCCTTAGATCCCAAGATTCAGGCAGGGATGATATGTCACACAAAAAACGGGTGGCAAGGGCAATGATTGATTTTGTCTCAATCGTCTGCGGAGGAATCGGGACGCGGCCTAATGGAAATCCAAAGTCAAATGGTGCAGCTCCCACCAGACTTCAACCAGGATCCAGATCTTCAAAAGTGACAATTGGCCACAAATGTTTGGCACTGAGATTCATGGTTCTACCTGGACCCCTCAAAATTCCCCTTAAAACGGGGTATTGCCGCAAAAAAACAAGAATGAAGTCCAGCCCAAATGCTTCCGCCACTGCGTGGTGCTTCGAGGTTTTGCGCAGTCCTTCTCGGTCAAGCCGTTGGCATCGTGGGTCCAAAGCTTCACATCCACCGTGTTGTACCTAGATCTCTGGCACAGCCACCCAAACCTCCAGCGGATTTGTTGGTACTTGACTTAAGAAGGCCCCCCTGCCCTTGGTTCCCACAGCTGTTGCTTCTCAAGGTAACTAGCTTGCAACCCAGCCCGCCTTAGTAGAAGGGGAGACATGGGAAATGTAGCTGTCTCGTCTCTCGATGGATGCTTGGCCCGCCGAAGCCAGGCTTAAACCGAATAGACTCGGACTTGCCAAGGCTAACCGAGATAATCTATTCATGTTTGTGATTTGGGGGATCCAACTCTTGCCAGAGAGAGGGATATAAAGAGCAAACACTGCATGCTCTCAAAGGTTGATGACAGTGTTTGCTAAGTTCGGCCTCTAGTGACATCTTGCGTGGCCTTGCACAATTGAAAACTGGCCGAGACCATGTTTGTTGTCCGTTCCTGTCAAGTGTAAAGAAAGCATTGCGGTCATCAAGAATCGAACACTCTAGAGGCCTACCTGTTCAGAATCCGGACGAAACAACGAAACAAAAGGCGACGAGTCCATGTTTGATGTTGAAGGGAATCCCCCTGGAAGTAAGGGCGCAGATCATCAAATCCTTGTAGCGGATTGCTTCGTCCAACTTGAGACCAAGAGCGAACTCGTGACAACTGTCCAAATTGGTCCAACCAATTAGCCCATTTGGGCCAAGTTGCCTGACCATGAGACGCTTTGAACAGGGGAAGCCATGCACCCCAATGATGCACCAACAAAGTATGCGATTCTTCAGGTGTGGCATCAGCCTTCAGAAGACTGGAGTTTGCTTCCCCCTGACAGGACGGGGTGACTTGGGACCTGGCCCAAGAGTGCCTACGAATTCCTCGCCCCTATTCCTCCAAGTGGCACGTTGCTCCAGTTGGGATGATGGTCCGCCTGCGGAGTCACGGGATGGGCCTTCCCCTCCCTTTTGAGGTTGCTGACTTGTTTGGGACTTTATTATGGTCGAAGGAAAGCGGGTTTAGGAAGGGCTTCTTCGAACATGAGATCTGTCTAAAACTATGGACGTTTCTTGGTTGGTTCTTTGTTTGCTTGCTAGTGTGCTTGCTTGATTGCTCGGTTGCCTGCTTGTTTGTTTGCTTGCTTGTTTGTTGCTTGTATGAATGCATGCATGTCTGCTGGTTGTTTATTTGGATGGATGGTTGGGTAGGTATTTGCTTGATTGCTTGTTTCTGGGCTTGTTTTTTTGTTCGTTTGCTTGCTTATTCACGTTCTACTGTTGTTTGCTTGCTTGCTTGCTTGCTTGCTTGCTTGCTTGCTTGCTTGCTTGCTTGCTTGCTTGCTTGCTTGCTTGCTTGTCTTTCTGGCAGGTGCCATGTTAAGCTACCAGGCAGTAGTCCTGTCACTGTCCAAGTCTGAACCCTTGCTCCCAGCGCATGATATGGATGGCTACTGGGCGCCAAATGGATCTGCAACCTCATCATCACACCAACCTCTCGGGGCAGCCTTACCCCAAGTAAACCAGGAAGTAGAGCCACCTGCTGTAGGGGGCAGTATTTATAGGGGGAGTAGAAGAACGGAACACTTCCCCATCCCTTTGTTTGTCCTTTGGGTAGGTTTCAATTGGGAGTTTGCACCTGGCACGGCCGAAGGGTATCACAGAAGTAGGAACAACAGCCAAAGGCGATGCTTAAGACTGGTGACTACCAAAACCAGTTTAGCTTTTTGCCCAACCAAACATAAAGTGCTGAGGCCTGGTCAATCTTAGCCACCTTTTCAACAGGTGAAGCCATTTCAACATGAGCCCAAAGAAAAGGCCCCCCCTCTTATCACCACTAGGTCCTCCAGTAGAGAGGTTAGAATGAGGGTACCCTTTTTGCTGTAGGCTGTTTTAGTGGGGTCCCGAACCCTCCCGAACCCTGTTTCTATAGGCTCCCCATGGGCTTTCATAGGCTTCGGGGAGCCTGGGGTCACTTTCAAGCGACGAGCCGACTGGGTGTACAAACGTGGCCGGGGGCGCAAACTGAACGGCGCCAACCGTCCAAAGCAACGGTGTGGGTGTTTTAAAATAGGGGAGCCCAAAAAAAAGAGGATAGTAACATGGTCAAACAACTTGATACAATGTCAAACTTTCGCTAAAGGACGTGGTTGCGGAACAGTTACCTTTGTATAATACCACAGTGTTCTTTGTCAGCTATGCTAACCCGGAATCCATAGATCTCTAGATGGTAAGGGAATGTCTCCTTTGTTGGAAACCCTTAATTTTGTGGGTGGCACCCGCTAGTAGGGTGGGTTTATTCATCTCGGGTCCCGGGTTCCCAATTGAAAGGTTTTCCCTTGGAATCACGGAACTGGCTCGGACGCGGGCATGGAATGCCGCGAGTTCAATCGCGAAAATAGGCTCGACAAGAGATGCGCCAGGTCCACCAGGATCAAGCGACACATCAAGCAATGAAGTGGGGATACATGCCAAGGCCATAGGTGTCCTTTTGGGGGAAATAGATGGCCCTGGTAGATGAGCAAACCACCTGGTAAACCAGGACATCTATTCTTTTGCCAAAACAACCAAAAAGGACACCTATGGCCAAGGCTTGGTTGCTCAATGGAAATTAACGGACACCTCAAGCGAAGCAACTTCATGACCAACCTTGCGAGGTCACTATGATTCTTCCAGGATAAACATGGCTCCCTTAGAGGCGCGGGCAAAAAAGCAAGGTCACAGCGAGAATCGAAGACGTTGGTTAGTTCCATCGGGAAATTCTGCCTTGGTAGCTGTTGACCCCTCATTGACCCCTCTGCCGAAGGCTTTACTTTACTTGTCCAATGGAAAATCCCTCCGTTTCCCAAAAAGCTTCACGTCCAAACATTCGTTCCCAACGGTTTGTACCAGCACTCCGAGGGACAAGCAACACACTCGCTTCGAACCCTCGATCGATTTCGCCGGCAGTCCAAAGCATCAATGGAACACTCGTTGCTCAAATGCCCAACACTGGTACCTGAAAAAAACAAAAAAACAACATATATATATATATATAATATGTGCAACCATGATCAAGTCTCCCTGCCATGAAAGACTGCGAGGAGCACATGCCGGCCTTGTCCGCAGCAATGGCAACTCGGGACATGAAGCCAAAGGCGGCTTGAAAGTTCTTGAACTGGAAAGTCCTCTCCAAACCTCAGCTAGTGAGCACGGCACCAACATCTAATATATGACTGCTTCCTCTCTCATGTGTGGTCTTGTAATTCTGTTCTCTCGTAAACCACGAAAAAACGCTCACATGCCTGTAGGTCAACACCAATGGGATCCCATTTTGGGGTAGGTGAATTCACCACCCATTTTAGAACCTATTTTAGTGGTTGGATTGGTTGATGTTCACTGGCGGTGCGGGCTTTGGATTTTGACCCATGGCCATATTAGTTGTCTTTTTTGTTTGGGGGGTAATGCGTGCTTCCCAGGTGGCCGGTGCCCATTTGCCTCACGGACTAAAACCCCAATCACCTTTTGACTGCCGCATAGACTTAAAACAAGGGGTGGGTGGGTGGTTGATGTCCCCAAAGCCTTTGGAACCCCTGGGTTTGAGCCGACTTTAAGGTAGTCAAGAAGAACCCTGCCTCTGACACGCCCATGATGCATGTCAAAGATCACACCATAGTTTCAACTTCTTAGGCTTGAACATCGCCCACAAGCCATGAGACATTGCAACACCCAGAAAGGGGCCGTGAGCTCGTGTTGCCCCCGCTTCGCTCGCGAACAGCAAACCGGCTGGCCAACAGGACAGCTCTGCGATGACAATCCATCCGTCCGCCGAGGATACATCCAACAACTCAAAACTTGTTTGACGTTGGAAGGGGATACAGATAAGTGGAATTTCCCACTAAACCAGAATAAGCAACAATTTAAAATGTTTCACAACAACCATGAACCAAACACTCAACAAGGATTCCAATAATCATCCTCATGCAGGTACTTGGGTGATTCTTCAGGTTGACTTCGGATTAGTCCAGTGGACCCTACTAGTCAGAGGAACCCCGTACAAAGGATCACGTCATCACCAAAAGCCAAGCAACATTTTGATTAGTACGGTACTCAGGATTAATCCGAAGTTACAAATAACAGGCTCCAGCTGGCACTCCTTTGTTCCACTCAAGAACACAGGAAATGACACCCAAACCCAACCATCGGGAATGATCTGGAAAGTCTTGAAGGGCCTTTCCGAAGCGTTGGGATGCTCTTTGGAAGGGTTCCCCGGTCCAGCGGGCAATGTACGTTTCCCCGTCAGGTAGCTGAGCCCCAAAGAAAAGCTTTGGCCGACCGACTTGAGGCGCGGGCAAGGAGCGGGACTCAGCCTGGCAGCGGCCAAGTACCGAATGAGACCGCCAGCTTGTGGCGCCGAAAAAACGGAATCCCCAAGATGGCACCCTGGCGAATGAACACGAAGACCACCTGTGGAACTGTGTACCTGAACCCTCAAAATTCCCTTAAAAATGGGTTTGACCCCCAAAATTATGGGGTGATATCCCATTTTTATGGGTAGTTTGAGGGTCCAGGTAACCCAAACGCTTCCCTCGTGTTTTCTGGTGGCTTGGAGCCTAGTGGTTTGGAGACCAAGGCTAAGGCGACCAAAAGGACGTGGGGGCTGGTCCCCTCGAGTGGGAGGTTCCCCATGTCTTTCCCGGAGGGTATCATATTTTGATTCAGAGCCATGGCATCATATGGGTGTGGCTCAAAAGTAACGAGCTGGGGTTACGCGGGTTTTAGTCTTTGGTTCCATTGACCTCATTTACCAAGGTGCCATTTTGGTCCCACATGTTTGAGCCACAGCCATATTTGTTTTGGGGGAAGAGTTTGGGTTCATCCTCGCAAATCGACTCCCCTTTTCCTGGGAACAATTGAGTACAAGGGCCTTCGAAAAATCGCCGATGTGGGTTCGTCTTATGGGAACCAAGTACCTGTGGGGAGGGTAAAATTTCAGGTAATGTTGACCCCGGATTAATAAACCCCTGGTTGATTTTCATCGGGGGGTGTCCAATTCCTTTTAGTGGAGATTCGGACCACTTTTGGAGGGGTTTTCACCCCCCTAATAATGGGTTTCGGGTTCTGCTTAGATCCTGGGTCAACATTACATCCCAAGATCCCGGCCGGCGGATTCCGAATCACTGTGGGTTCCGAAACACCCCGCCCTATCCGCAAGATGCGTAAATCTATCGATATTGCATGGAAGGGGGCCCGAACCCAGACCAGTCGATGGTCAAAACGCACAAAGGGCGAACTTGATTTACCGGAACATTCTAGGACCTCAGGAGCCAAACGCCAGGTCAAAAAGCTTCCGCTAAAGAGAAAGGCCCCACAAGAGGGGGGAAAGATCTACCGCACCTGCGGCCATGAGTCAAAACACCCCGCCACGCCGCCACTAGATCAGCAGCGCTGAGCGTTGTGGCTTTCGAGCTGGGGCGAACTGAAATGCCTTTCCAACACGAATCGCAAACCTGCTCGCTGCGGGTCGGGCTTAAAACCCCGTGTGTCTGTGTGTGTGTGTGTGTGTCGGTGTGTTTGGTTTTTAGGGCAATTACAAACCTTTGCAGGTTGTCTCACAGAGAAACCAAAAGGGACTCCACCAATTTTGGGGTCCCGTTTTGACACAAACACTGCAACCAAAGCGAGGCGAGCGGTTCGCCTCCAGGCGGGCGACAGCCTCTGCAGCGCTTGGTTCACCTGAGGCTGCGCGCACAAGAGAAATTCACCTCGTGGAAAGCATTCGGGTGCGCAGGTAGACATGGGGTGGCAAACATGGCTTTTGGAGGGGAACCCCCCTAAACAGGACCTTTGTTTGGAGCGTACCCCCCCTTGTTGCACCCCCAACAGCTTTTCAGCTTTGGAGGTCCCTGTGCAGGGTGTTCTGGAAGGAGGGTTCCAGCAGGCCGGTTCCGAGTGCGGATGGGAATCACCTGAGCGTTGTTTTTTTTGGTTTTAAACGCGACCCTTCACAACGAGACTCTGTCCAACAATGCTGCTTTCACCCGGGTATTTCGTGCCAGTTTATCTTCTCACTTCCGATCGAGTGGACTGGCCAAAAAACTCCCGAAAACTGTTTATGGTGCTACCAAAATGGTCTTCCAATAAAGTTTCAAGAATGAACTCAGGAAGTACGTCTAATCAAACAGGATACCTTTAGAGACCCTGCTTCCGAATTCTGCCGAAAACAACAAATCAGTCGATGAAAACGCAGCTTGCTTCATTGGCTGTACCCAACAGTCTCGCCTCACAAATAAGGAGCCCAGCCAAGTCCTGATATGTACTAGCTGATTTATCTTTCCCCCATTGAGAAATGCATCCTATTTGTCAATGTTACTTCTTTAAACCCGCTAAATCCCCAAATACTGAATTAGCCAATACACCCCAACTCCAATCATATCAGAGCATAATTTGGAATCAGCACCAAACCAATACCAAACTATACTGCTAAACCACGACGAAGCCAATGCTAAACCAATACTACGTGGAATTAAGCTATTTAAACGGAAGACCCCATTTTGTTTCTTCCCCAGGAGACTGTTCTTATAAAGGGCGCATTTATCATTCAGGGCAAATGATTAATGTGCTACTTTCATCTATCCCCTTGTGCTTTCCTTCCGAGGAAACCCATAGATATTGTCTTTCTGGCCCGTGATGGTGATAATTGCCCCCAATCTGCGTGTTGCATACCTGAACAGTCCTAAGGCTTGTTTCAAAGGCCACGGACCCCAAGAAATGCTCGGTCTCCGTCCTCGAAGAGCCGCCACCAGAGTTTGCCTTTTGGCCCTGGGAAACTGATCGGATCCAGTCCCCGCTTTCGGATCCCAGTCCTGATCCTGATCCTTTCGAACAGCCAAAAGGCTCAAACCATTTTCCGGGCCGAAGGCTGGGACAGCTCCGGAATTTCCCCGTGGACTGAGGACAACTCCATGTGGGAGGAATCGTTGGTTCTGTTCCCCCAGAGGCCAACCCCTACGAACGTGGTTTGGTTTCCGCTCGAAGCAGCAGATGACAGACCTAGTCATCCATTGGGTGTGATCGGGATCTCCTTTCCGGTTGAGGAGAAGGACCGCAAAAGAGCCACGAGAAGGATGCATCTGAGAGATGGCCGGGTTTTGCTAGAAAACAAGGACGCCACCCAAATGCAACTGTGGACGAAATCCATTTCGCACCAAAGAAACCCTGGTTTCTGCAAACAATGAGTTTCCCATGGTTTCGAAGTGGTGCGAAGTGGATTTCGTCCATCCACAGTATCACTTGCTTTTTCAACCCGCGGTTCTACCCATGGTCATGAGGAAATTCACCCCCAGGCTAGAAGCTGCTTGGGTTGAACATCCTAAGTGGTATGCGGCAACTTTTGCAGGCCATGCCCTATGGTTCAGTTGCCACCAAAACAATCTAGGTCCTCCAGTAGAGAGGTTAGAATAAGTTGGTAATAAGTTGGTACCCGATGTTTTTTCTGCCCCCCCCAAAAGGGAACAGGGCACTGCTGGGGGACCTAGCAATGGGGTTGGGTTCATATTCCACCCGTCGTTTACCGTTCAGGCTTGGCATCATCAAATTGAGTCCCCTTGGGCCATTCCTTTTTTTCATGGGGGCAAGGAATCCTGGGGCATGGGTAAAATTTGGGGTTTACCCCAACTTGGTTGCTGTTGACCCCCCTGCAAAAAGTTTAACTATTTGGGGGGTTTAGTGGAAAACCCGTTGATTTCCCAAACAAGTTGAAGTCTAAAGATCCAACCCAATAGCAGTCAAGCCAAAAGCTGAGGATGCCACCAATCCCCTTAAGAGGCCTCCGCATTTCAAATCCCTCCGCTCAGCTTCGCCTCGGTCTCACCCAGACGGACCGCTGCCAGGATCCGCGACGCGCGCATGACGTTTCGCAGAGGGCGCTCCAAGCAATTGGTGCGATGAAAATCCAAGCCAGCGGCTGTTGGGCTATAAGGACATGGAGTTTGTAAGGAGAGTGTGTGTGTGTGCCTTGTGTAGTGTTTGGTTGTATGTAAGGCTTTTTTGTTGTCTTTTGGTGTCAGTCTCGGTGACAAAGAGTGCAACATGTCCCAGATCGAAAGTGACTGCAAGAAATTGCCTTGAGCCGGTTTGCCTAGGCGCTGTTCCAGTTTCGGCTCAAGCTCGAGCCATACACGGCGATGCGGACGCACTTGGCGTTCATCGCTGGAGCCCTTTGGCGGACTACTTCCCTAAGCCGCAACTGAAAAAAAAGGAATCCCTCCAAAGGACTTCCCTGAAACAAACAGGCTTTTCTGGTTGCATGTGAAGCTGAGTAGTCTTTGTTCCGGAACTTGTGCTTTAGAAGGACTCCTACGTTTGCAATTGCCATCCATTCCGATCTGGAAAGAACGCACTGGAGAAAAAGGCACCGCAGACGGAAAAAACAAGCACCCGCCCGAGGAAAGAAAAGGCACCACGGACAGGAACCCGCCCGGGAAAATAAAACGAAGAAAATAAAAGAAGGGCGCTCGCCTTCGCACTGGAGTTCTGTCCACTTCATCTGCTCAATCTCGAGCAAATGAAGGTCCCCGTAGGCCTGGCGGATGTGGGCTCAAAGAGGAAGTCTAGCATCTCCTTTCTCTGCTCAAGACCCGATCGAGATGGGCCAAGTCCAAACTGTTTGGCATTTACCACTTAAATTGTCCTAAGCTTCAAGTCCAGGAACTCGGGAGATTTCTTCCTAGGTGCTTGGAAAGTAGCCAAGCCGTGGCGACAAACTCGGTGATGCCAAGGGTTCGGTCAAAGATCCACCAAAAACTCCAGCTGGTGTGTGGCAAAACATGCAGAAATTCTTACTTTTTGCAAAGCCAAAGCTCCCCATGGACACGAACTTGACGTAGTTATGCGTGTTCGCCGATCCTATCGGGCATGTCCAGCAAGAATGACTGATACCACGACGTGATACCCACGACGTGATACCCTGCCGTTGCTTCTTTCTTGCTCGAAACGAGCTGACCCCACCACAAAGCCTGGCCCTCCCTCTCTCGGGCGCTACTTTGTGAAACCGTGGTGAAACCGTGTGACAAACACAAAGCAAACACGCCCTGGGGTTCAAACCGCCGTTAAACCAAGGGGGGTTCATGTCACCACTCATTATTTACTAATGGATTGCGATCATTCCTGAATTGGGGGTTGAACCCTATAGGGTATGGAGCGGCACCTGAAAAAATCTTAAAACTGTAAAACCGATGTTAGATCCTTGAGCCAACAAGTGAACACTGCTGGTTGAAAGCGACTATGAAGGAACACCACAAGGACTTCCCAAGAAAGTCCGGAAATGGGTCAAAATAGCGCAATGACCTCAAATTGATCTTTCCACTTGGGAGAAAGTTCGACCGAGGTCCATTTGTCTCATGAGTCACAATCAAAACCCGGTACTAAAATGGTAGACCCAGAACCATGTAAGGATTAAGAAGGCGGCTGCAGCTATTTCTGGTTGGGATCGTCCTTTACTAAGCTTCATCAACCCGGGTTTTGATTGTGGCTCTCATGGTCACGGAGTCAACCGGGTGAGTACAACAGTTTTTTGTGACAAATGACTTGCTCGCTAGGAGCACATTGTCATGCGAAAAGTGCCTTCACTGAGGTCCACCCTACAGGGCGCTCGGGCGATGACAACGCCGAAACTGGCCCAAGCCTTCTTGTCGTCACAGCCGCCATGCAAATACCTCGCGGGCTGCTGGGTTGAGAATTGTGGTCCGAACTCAGCCGCCCGTGGGTGTGGGCCTGTTTATATGGATGTATGTGTGTATGTGTGTATGTGTGTATGTGTGTTTGTGTGTATGTGTGTATGTGTGTGTGTGTGCGTGCGTGCGTGCGTGCGTGCGTGCGTGCGTGCGTGGGTGTGTGTGTGGGTGTGGGTGTGGGTGGGTGGGTGGGTGGGTGCGTGCGTGCGTGGGTGCGTGCGTGCGTGGGTGCGTGGGTGGGTGGGTGGGTGGGTGGGTGGGTGGGTGGGTGGGTGGGTGTGGGTGGTGGGTGGGTGGGTGGGTGGGTGGTGGGTGGGTGGGTGGGTGGGTGGGTGGGTGGGTGGGTGTGTGTGTGTGTGGGTGTGGGGGTGCATGTGCATGTGCGTGCGCGTGTGCGTGTGCGTGTGCGTGTGCCTGCGCCTGCACCTGCGCATGAGTGCTGCGCATGAGTGCGTGCGTGCGTGCGTGGGTGTGCCCGCGTGTGTTTGTTTGTCTGTATGCGGTTATGTGTGTGTGCCTATGTGTGGGTTTGTCTGTACGCGTCTATGTGTGTGCGTGTATCTGCGTGTGTGGTCGTGTCTCTCTTGGTGTCAGTGTGTGTGTGTCTATTGTGTGCGTGTGTGTCTGTACGCAAGCCGTATCTGTCCCGCAAGTACAATTCCTCTACAGATTGCAACTGACATTTAGTAAACACTACCTGAAGATAGAGTCAGCACATCACTGTGCATTTCCCCGCAGGTTGTTGGTTGTGTTCCGCCCCAACTGATTGTTACTAACAACGATAGGGTGCTCCTAAACCATATATAATTGTAACAGCGATATGAGGCAATTGAGACATGTTCAAACGATCAAATCTTTACGAACTTATAACTGCGGCCAAAAGAGGACAGTCACAGATTTTGTTTGTTGTTGGTTGTTCTCGCCGGAAAACTCACCGGGGACAACTGGCTAATTAGAATATTAGGATCCACAGGGCGATCCAAAGCTAGAACCAAAGTGATGAGAACCCATGCTCAGCAGGGCTGTGGGAAATGGAATCCACCTCTGTGATACAACACAATGGGCTTCCCAAAGACTATTTTCTTCATAAGGGGGATTCCCTTGTATCACAGAAGTGGGGAGAAACCCCTTGATCCCCCAACCCTGCCTTTCAGAATTTAGGCAAACCAGCCTTCCCAAAGACATATCCCCCTTTTTCAAGGGAAGAGTTCAACTTGTATCACAGTGGTTGGATAAACCCCGAGTGATCCCGCAACCCTCATGCTCACTGGTTGCCAATTTTAAAGGTTGACTATAAAGGCCTGGACTGGGCTACCAACACAAGCCAACAGAAACCCTACCCTAGGGTCCAACCCTGGCCTTGCACCCCACTTTGGATGATGACAATCCTCGAATGATGGCGGTGAAATATAAACCCAACCCTTGTCTTTTGATGGTGATAACTGGACTGCAAGGCCGAAATAGCTTATCAACAAGAACTAACATAAACCAACATAAACCCCAAATATCTTAACTGAAAAAGGAGTAAAACACATGACGACCAGAAACCGATAGGACTGCACCGGAAACGATCAAAATCGATGGCCGGCTCAAAAGCCAGTCCGATGTCCCTTGCAAGCGTTCCGAGATGTTCTTTAGCGCACACATGGGGGGGGGTCCTTTTAGGGGACCCCCAAAATGCTGGCAAACCCTATTGGTTTCCCTTTGAAGCCAAAAATCAAGGGGTACCTGGACCCTCAAATTGTCCATAACAACTTGGTCATTGTGCGAAAATTATGGTTGGGGAAGTCCCTTTGTTAATGTTTAGTTTGGGGTCCAGGTACCCTTCAAACAAACAGACCAAATCTACCTGGTGAATTCAAACCGTTTTTCCTGGCCGGGTCGTTTTTTCGGAGGGTAGAAGGGTCCCAAAGGTAAAGATCTGGGGAAACCAGTCAGTTGGCGTTTTTTGACTCGCTATGGGTCTCTTTGTTGACCATTTTTCCCCTTTGTGGCAAAGGGCTCAATGACGGGCTACGGAAAACAAGTTGTCGAAACGGGGAATGCGCATGGCGGTGTAGTCCTACTCAAATTGATGCCAAGCGCTTGGCTTTTCCCCCGAACAGCTGAAAGCTTTGGGGTCTCTGCCCAAATATGTTCTGGGGTGATTCGGGTGTGGGCTAGGGTTCTGGAATGGTGCCAGGGGCTGTTGTTGGGGAAGATGCAACCCAAAGAGGGGGCCTTACAGATGGGCAAATCCTGCACCAGCTGGAATGAACGCCTGATGAAAATGATCTCTACTCTTGGTATGGGCTGGCAAAAAAGCTGACTGCTTTTTGCAGACCCCCAGTAAAAAGGAACAGAACCAAAAAACCTAGAAAACTAAAAATTATGTGAAGAAGAGTGAAGTGATGAATACTGGGATCATCCACCCACCAACCGGTGCGAAGCCGAGCTTGTCCATCAGTGTGGCTGTCACCTGCCTTCTTGCACATCCCCCCAGAAACAAACCACACGCCCCAAGCGAAGTGGAGCCCGCGTCCGCACCCCGCTGGCTGGGACTCCAACTGATTCCGCCCCGTAAGAATCAGTTGGAGCACTTTCCAAAGGGACCTGATTCTCTCGATTGCTTTCTGCTCCCCTGCTAAAAGTTTAACTTTTAGTGGTTTAGTGGAAAACACATTAGTTGGCAAAAAGTTCAAGTCCTAACAGCCAAGCAAAATGCACCAAAGTGAAAAAGGGTGTGCTGCCCTCCTCGCCGGGCCAAGATTGAACCTCCTTTCGGGTTAGAAAAGCTCAGCCCCTTTCAGGAACTCCGGAGGTCACATTCGGGTGTTCATCGTGACCTCAAGAGGCACGATGAAGCGCAGAACTCACGACATCCACCCTTAGTTGAGTGCCCCAAAGTGGGTTCTAACAAATGGCTGTGGCTCAAAAAACCGGTACCAAAATGGAACGCTGTCAATTGGAAACATGGACCAAAACCTGCGTAACCCCTCCTGTTTAATTTTGAGCCAGGGTGCTTCACACACAAATTGTCCATTGGCGCAAGGATGGACCCCGATTCTTAGACCCCTTTTAATCTTTCCTGACTGAGTACTGAATACATCAGCAAACAGAAGGGAGGTGGTGTGACAGTGACCTGAGTATCTTCTGGCAACCTTTTCTGTTGTCATCCAATTCCTGAAATGATCTAATGTCTGAACAAACTGCCTTGCAGCACATGCCTTTCAGCACGATAGTCTG